CAAGGGTGTAAATTTGACATGGCTTCAAGCAGTCAAAGTAGCATTCTAGGGGATGACTATGAACATGTAACTAGTTATCAAGGTATGGTTTATGATGCTGCTGGCGTAGAATTTGGGCATTAAATAGAACCCAATTTAGAAGAGCCTCCAAATATGGAAGCTACTAAGTTTTATGACATGTTGAATTTAGCTCAGCAACCATTATGGTCCGGATGTAAATATTCAGAGTTGTCTATGGCGGTTAGAATGATGAGTATCAAATCTGAACACAATATGTCCCAAAGTTGTTTTAATGCAATGGCACAATTGATGTAGGATTCAAATTCCCCCGATAATAAGATACCTCTTAATTACTACCAGGCAAGCTAGTCTCAGGGCTTGGTCTAATTAGTCAAAAAATTGATTGTTGTGTTAATTCATGTATGTTGTACTACAAGGCTGACATAAACATGACCGAGTGTAAGTTTTGTCATGAACCTCGTTATAAAGAACAAGTGCGCAAGCAAAATAAGAAGGTTCCACGTAAGAGATTGCATTACTTGCCACTCATTCCTAGGCTTCAACGACTATATGCTTCCACAAAATTTGCGGAGCACATGAGGTGGAATTATGAAAATCGTAGGAAAGATGGCGTGCTGTGCCAACCTTCAGATGGAGAAACATGGAAACATTTCGATCGAACCTATCCGAACTTTTCTATAGAACCTAGAAATGTTAGGCTTGGCTTATGTTCTGATGGAATTACACCGTATAGCCAGTCAACATCACCATACTCTTGTTGGCCAGTAATTGTTACTCCCTATAATCTTCCTCCGGTTCTATGTATGACTGCCCCATACATGTTCTTAACATTGGTCATTCCAGGTCCTCATAATCCCAAGGGGAAAATTGATGTATATCTTCAACCGTTAATAGATGAACTGCAACAACTATGGACTGATGGTGTACTAACTTATGACGTGTCAAAGAAGCAAAATTTTCTCATGCGAGCAGCATTAATGTGGACAATTAATAATTTTTCTGCTTATGGTATGCTATCAGGGTGAAGTACGGCGGGTAAATTAGCATGGCCAATTTGCATGGAACAATCAAAAGCTTTTCGGTTGAAATATGGAAGGAAAAATACTTGGTTTGACTGTCATCGCCAATTCTTGCCTCCTAATCATGCTTTTAGAAGAAACACAAATGCTTTCTACAAAGGGAGAGCGGAGAAGTCTAGACCTCCTCCTAGGTTAACTGAGGATCAAGTGCGGGAAAAAGTTAGAGAGTTTTCTAAGATAACCGAATCAGGTCCGCGCAAGTTCTATGGATATGGAACTACCCATAATTGGACTAAAAGAAGTATTTTTTGGGATCTTCCATATTGGAAGACCAATCTAATTCGTCACAATCTTGATCTAATGCACATAGAGAAGAATGTCTTCGATAATGTTTTTCATAGTATTATGGACAACAAAGATAAAACTAAGGATAATGAGAAGGCAAGAATGGACTTGAAAGAACATTGTCGTCGAAATTATTTACACTTGCAATGTGATGGTAATGGGAGATGGATTAAACCCAAAGCAAAGTTTATTAAATCAGAACCAAAAGAAAGATGTATGTTAATGGGTTAAACAGTTAAAGATGCCTGATGGCTATGCTTCAAATTTAGATAAACGTGTTGATATGCAACACTTAAAGCTCTTTGGGATGAAAAGTCATGATTGCACATTTTTATGCAATGTCTTCTACCAATTGCTTTTAATGCACTTCTAAAACCAATCTGGAAGCCTATAACTGAACTTAGTCGGCTTTTTAAAGACGTGTGCTCAACAGTATTACATGAGGATCATTTAATACAAATGGAATAGAATATTCCTGTAATCATGTGTAAGTTGGAGAGAATATTTCCACCAGCATTTTTTGATTCAATGGAGCATTTATTAATTCATTTTCCATATGAAGCAACGGTTAGTGGGCCAGCTCAATATCGATGGATGTATCCATTTGAAAGGTGTGTAGTTTTCTACTGAGAATTTGTCATTTATCACCTTCAGCATACTATATAGTTTATTTTTATAATTATTGTAGGATCCTAAACAAAGTTAAGAAGACCATAGAAAATAAATCCAGAGTCGAAGGATCAATTGTTCAAGCATACTTGCTTCAAGAAATCTCATACTTTTCTTCCCATTATTTTGAATTGCATGTCCTGTCCAGCAACAATAGAGTTGGTCGTAATAATGATATAACTGAAAAAGGTGCAACCCAACCGACTCTATCTGTGTTTAATTCTTCTGGCCGGACTTATGGCGATGATGGCATTCGGTGGTTAGACGATAAAGAAGTTGATCCAGCACATTTACATGTTCTTTTAAATTGTGATGAAGTTAAACCTTTCCTCAAGTAAGTTTTAAGCATTATATGAATTTAACTATTAAGAGTAACTTAATTATATTTTGATTATAACTAATGTGTGGCTGCAGTTTGTATGAGCAACTTCTCAGAGTTACTTATGGTGATCTTAGTGAAGATGTCATTGATAAACAAATTGAAGCTGGCTTTCCACGATGGTTCAAAGATTATGTATGGAATAACATAAACTAGTTATTACTGAAGAACATATCATTATAAAAGATAAATATCATTTAATATATAAATCTAACTTCTTCTTCTTCTTCTTATTATTATTATACAATAGGTCAATAAAAATCCACAAGAGACGTTGAATCCGTATTTGTAAGTCTTAGCAGAGGGACCACTAAGAAAGGTAACTTCATGTCCTGTTTATATTGCGAATGGATACAAATTTTGCACTTCTGCATGGGGTAAAGAAGAAAAATATTTAACAGTGGAGTATGTGTTAGTGGCATCGGACATGATGGTACTACAAATGACTATTATGGTGTTATAAAGGAGATTCTCAAATTGTAATGGACAAGGACCACTCAAAAGTTAGTTTTATTTTATTGTGATTAGTTTTATCCGTCTAAACATGGCATGAAAGTTGATAGCCAATTTGGCATTGTCGAGTTTCGAAAAACGGGAAGATATGCTAAAGTTGACCCTTTCATCTTTCCTGAAACTGTAACACAAGTTTATTATGCAAATCATCCTGAAAGCAAAGGAGATAAGGATGATTGGTGGGTTTTTATAAAGACAAAGCCAAGAGAAGTTGTGGATGAAAGACATAATGTGGAAGTTGCTTACCAAGAGGAGCAGTCACATGTTAATCCAAGCATAGAGGATGATCCAATTGATTTCTTACAAGATGATCAAGTTGTTGGTGAGGAGGTTGATATGAGTAGTATTCAACCATTCATCAACGAAGACGGATATCATTTAATTGACGATGAAGATGAGGAGATAGCAAGTGAAGAAGAGGAAGAGCTTTTTGATAGTGATGATTCACAAGATCACTGTCAAACCCAAGATGATGATGAGTATGAAGATGAAGATGAAGATGAAAATGAAGAATGAGAATACTAATTTGTTAATTATTTTATATTTTCTTATTTACAGTAGGTTTATTTTAAGATATTTTGAAGTTTTATAGAACTATTTAGAATTTTGAGAATCTTCATTTGTCAATTTTCATTTGTCCTTGAATCATTCTAAACTTCAAGATGGTATTTACAGTAAATGATATCTTATTTCTTTTATGGTCTTGAAGTAATCCAATGTTTGCATATTTGGTTCTCTTAAATAATTAATTATGTTGTTCTACTGTTATGTATGATGTTTTTCTTCTTAAGTTATGAACCTAGTTGTTTGTCAGCTTACTAAAGATTGTATCAACATTATTTGTTTCTTCCCCCAGATGTCAGGTAATACAGGATCTAAACAAGCTGGGAAAACTAATGGTAAAGGAGAAAAATTCCATAAAAGGAAAACACACACAATAGAGCCTCAAGCAGCTCAAATGCCTCACGTAATCCCTTCACATTCCCTCCTATCTCGAACTAGTTTACTTCATGTACGTGAGACTTTTTTGCCTCAACCTACTCCTGAAGTCAATCTACCTCAATCTAGTATTGGAGCCAATCAACCCCAACCTCATAAACCAACTATAGATTTCACATAAAGTAATCTGAAACAATCAAGCAGTGAATTTTTTTTAAAAACCCTAGATGAACGTCTCAAACAATATTGGACAACTTCGATCGCTTCCAAGGAATGACAAAAAGGAATCCTAGATAGAAATGAAGGAAAAGAAGATTACCCTCAAGAATCTCAATTTTTGAAAATAGACAATCCAAAGTCAAACAAGAATCAAAAGGTCCAATTCTCTCTCAAAGGAGTTTCTACTCTCAAAATATGCTAGTTGCTTCAAAGAAAAAAACCCTAGGCTATTAAAAGACTCAATGGGGGAAAATAGGAAAGGTCTTGAACTTAATTCTTTAAAGAAAATTCGTCATGAACGTGCGCTGTAGCACACCTGGCACCTAGGGCATGAAACATGGTGTGCAGAGACTCCGGTCAATCTATCTCGCTCTCTATCAAGTTGTAGTGCAACGCAACATGTTGGTGACTACCATGGATGTGCTTGAGCTAAGCTTAGACATAGTCCGAAGAGAGAAGAGATTGAGAAAAAGGGGAACTGTTGTATTGAAGAAGGAAACTACAGTACACGGTATTAATACACTGTTCTAACCGCCTAAACTAACTAATCCACAAATTACATAATTACCCTCTACACTATAACTACTTAACTACCCTTGTGTCTATATCCTCAATACTCCCCCTCAAGCTATGTAGTGTGAATAAGTTGTATACTCCCAGCTTGGATAGTAGGAAATCATGTTGTGCCTTCCCTAGTCCTTTGGTTAGTACATCTCCTATCTGCAGGTTAGTAGAAACATGTGCAGTCTGAATTAGGCCTTGTTGAATCTTTTCTCGAATAAAATGGAAGTCAATCTCGATATGTTTGGTTCTTTCATGATAGATGGGATTTGCAGCAATCTGAATAGCCGCTTTACTATCACAATACAACTTCACTAGAAGCTTCAAGTCCACATTCATTCTTTAAACAACCCTGTTAACCAGACTACTTCTGCTATTGCATTGGCCATACTTTTGTACTCAGCTTTCGCAGAGCTTCTTGACATTGTATTTTGTTTCTTGGACTTCCAGGAGATAAGAGAGTCACCAAGCTTTACTATAAGCCCACTCACTGACCTTCTAGTCATTGGGCAAGTAGCCTAATCTGCATTACAATATACTGTGAGCTGGTCAGAAGATTGAGATGATAGCAGAATCCCCAGCCCAGGTGCATCCTTTAGGTACCTTACCACCCTCAGTGCTCCTTCCATATGTGACTTCTTTGGCTTGTGCAAGAATTGGCTTAAATTCTGCATAGCATAACTAATGTCTGGCCTTGTCATGGTAAGGTACAATAGCTTCCCAACTAATTTCTAATAGTTGCTTGGATTACTAACTAATTCATCACCATCTAGAGTTCCATGTGCATTGGCTTGATCATACTCTGCACTGGTGAGCTTATGGCTTGTGTCTAAAGGTGTGCAGGCTGGCTTAGAACCTGCAAGCCCAAGTGTGGCAATGATATCAGGTGTGAACTTCCTTTGACAAACAAAAATTCCATGTCTACTTCTTGCAACTTCAAGACCAAGGAAGTATCTCATCCCCCCAGGTCCTTGATCTTGAAGTGATATTGAAGCACAACTTTGGCATCCTGAATTAACTGAGGAGATGAGCTAGTGTTAATAGATCATCCTCATAGATCAGAATAATGACCAAATTAGAACTAGACCTCTTATTGAAGAGGGAATAGTCATGATGACTCTCTACAAAACCTAAGGATGAGAGGGCCTTACTGAGCCTCAAGTTCCATTGCCTAGAGGCTTGCTTGAGCCCATACAAGGACTTCTGAAGCTAGCAAACTCTAGGAGGCTCCCCCTCACCTAGAAGACTAGGGGGTGGAGTCATACACACTTCTTCCAGCAAATCACCTTGAAGAAAGGCATTGAAGATATCCATTTGGTGCAACTTCCATCCTTGCGTAGCAGCTAAAGATAGAACAATCCTTACTATGACCATTTTCACCACAGGTGAGAAGGTGTCTTGATAATCAAGACCCTCTTTTTATGTGTAACCTGTGGCCACTAAGCGAGCTTTATACCTTTCCACCTCACCTTTGGCATTGTACTTCACCTTAAACACCCATTTACACCCTATAGCTCTCTTATCAGTTGGCAAGGGAACTAACTTCTAGGTGTGGTTGTCATGTAGGGCCTGTAACTCTGCATCCATGGCTGCAATCCACTTGGGATCTCGAAGGGCATCAGCATAGGAAGTTGGTTCTATAACAGTTGAGAAAGATCAAAGTGCCTTGAAGTAAGGTGGAGACAATGAAGCATAAGACATGTATGCAGACATGGGATAACTGGAACCCAAAGCAGTAGAAAGACCAGCTTTTGGCATTCCATGAACAAAGTCATTGAGCCAGCCAGGTGTTTTGGAAGTCCTAGTAGACTTCCTTAGTCCTTTTTCTAGCAAATCATGTAATGGAGCCATAGTTGGGAGTGGCATCACTGCTGCAGGAGGTGATGTGAGGTGAGGCTGTTGCAGAGTCTCAGAAGATGGATCAGAAGTAGTAGGAGCTGAGGAAGCCTTAGGAGAAGGTGGAGGTGCTACTACTGAATCAAGAGCTATCTCTGAGACTTCAAAGGTAGGATCAATGATGAAAGCATCATCTGCATCAACAAACTGCTCAACATTAGTCCTCCTGCCTGTGGAAGTTGTGGTGATGAATGGAAAAGTGTATTCCTTGAAAGAGACATCCCTACTTACTAAAATATGCTTGTTAGTGAGACTGTATAGCCTATAACCCTTTTGAGTGGATGAATATCCCATATGCTCTGCTGGTTCTGCTCTAGCTCCAAATTTGTCACTTCTATCAGTGACAGTAGCATAGCATAGGCTTCCCAGAACCTTGAGATGTTGCAGTCTAAGTGGTCGACCATAGAACTTTTCAAAGGGAGACTTTCCTGCTATTACTGTAGATGGGATTCTATTAATCAGATATACTGCATTCTGTACACAAAATCCCCATAATCTCAATGGAGTGCTTCCCTGAAACTTGATGGCCCTAGCAACCTTAAAATTCTGTCTGTGTTTCGTTTCTACCACTCCATTCTGTTGGGGTGTGTAGACACAGGAACTTTGATGAACCACACCTGCATTCCTAAATATATCTGCACAATGTGAATTAAAGAACTCTGTTCCATTGTCTTTCCTGAACACCTTTATTGCACTGTTAAACTGAGTCTTCACAAGAGTCTTGCAGTCTTTTATTACAGTAGGTACATCACTTTTAAGTTTGAGCAGAAATATCCAAACCATTCTACTATAGTCATCTACTAATGTGAGAAAAAATCTATTCCATCATAGGTAGGGGTTTTATAAGGACCCCATACATCACCATGCATCAAATCAAATGCTTTAGAAGCCCTACTAGTACTTTGTGGAAAAGGAAATCTTGTCTGTTTTGCCAAGGGACAAATAGGACAGACATTATTACTATACAACCTATTATGTTTTATTATGTGCATCTGCTGTAGAACCTTGTGTGGAATGTGCCCAAGTCTTTTGTGCTATAGCTCTTCTTCATTGGTCACACACAGTGTTGCTGAGGCTTGAACCCAATCTCTATCACTGTGAGGCCAATAGTATAGATCTCTTTTAAGCGTACCAGTCCCCTTCTCCTTCCCAGTGTGAAGGTCCTGGATCAGGCAAAAATCAGGAAAGAACAGCATACAACAGTTTAGCTCCCTAGTCCGTTTTGACACTAAATTGTATTTAAAACGTGGGATGCAAAGAACAATGGATATAATCCCTTGATCTAATTCAGAACATCCTACACAAGAAATGGCCAAGCTATCTCCATTTGGAAAATGAACTTTTCCACCTATTCTTTTAGACTGCACTTTAGGCTTAGGAATCATTTCACTATTTGACACCGTGTGATCCGTTGCCCCTGTATCTACTATCCACTTAACATCCTTTGCTTTACTATCAGTAAAATATGTTATACTAACTGCATTTGCAAGCATTAGAGGGCCAGTTATACCTGCTGCATTAGCTGCATTAGTTGTTGATTCAGGTGTATTGTCCTTTTGTAGCATCTTCAGAATTTGGTTATATTGTTCTAGAGTGAATGGCGTTAGCATCTGCATGCTCAGTCTTGCATCTTTCTCCGCACCTGCAAAACTACTTGTTGATCCTGTATAACCTGCATTGGTGTAATCAACATTTGGACCTAATGGTCGTGTAGCTCCATAACATGTGTGACCATTTCATGAATTATTTCCCATTCCTTGATGTTGTCCATGATTCCCTAGTTGTGCAGAATTACCAAAATATGCTGAATTAGCCACTGGCTTTCTTCTGCCCTTGAAATCTGTTGAATATCCAATTAATTGATAACAATTCTCTTTGCTATGTCCTTTCATTCTACAGAATTCACACTTATATTGAAATTCTTTCTAGGTTTCTGCATCTGAGGTCCTTTAGCACTCCAAAGTGCAGTAATGTGATTGCCCTCCATTAGTAAGTTGAGACCTGTAGATCTATGGCCTGGCGATCCTTTCTGAGTCTCATCCTCGATAACCATGGCATATGCTTGTTTTAGACTAGATTCAGTGGATTTCATAAGAATTTGACGTCTTGCCTGACTATATGAGTCATTTAGACCTTCTAAAAATTGAAGTAACCTCTGTTGATTCAAGAGCTCAACATAGTCCTTTACAGAGCTAGGAGGCGGCACAATTGCATCAAATTCACCCCATAATTCCTTTAATTTTGTAAAATATGTAGAAATAGAGTCGGTACCTTGAGATATTGTTGCAATTTCCCTATGTAGCTGATAGATCCTCATTCGATTGACCTTGTCAAATCTTTAACGAAGATCCTCCCACACAGCTCGGGCATTCGATGCATACACTATCCCACTAAGTAGATCTGGCGATACAATAATGAAAGGACTATTGCGTTACAAGTTTCCCAATCCTCATGCAATGCTGCCGGAAATGACGCCTTGGTGTGTTTACCATCAACAAACCCTAGCTTTCGCTTAGCTTGAAGTGCGATATTCATCGATCTCCGCCATAAGCCATAGTTTTTGGATCCTTTGAGCTGAACCGGAATTAGCAATAAGCTCGGAGTGTCTGATGGATGCACGAATAGCGGATGCGTATGGTCAATTTTGTTTTCCCCCATTTCTGAATCGAAGAAAATGTCAGAGTTTTGAGAAATCGTCTATCTTCTAACTGAGCTCTAGCTTCTGCAATCGAGTGACGAAGAGGCGTGTTTAGATCATCTCCGCTAGCTCTGATACCATGTCGGAGACTGCCATGGGAGTGCTTTAGCTAAGCTTAGACATAGTCAGAAGAGAGAGGAGACAATGAGAAAAAGGGGAACTGTTGTATTGAAGAAGGAAGCTACAGTACTCGGTATTAATACACTGTTCTAACCGCCTAAACTAACTAATCCACAAATTACGTAATTACCCTCTACGCTATAACTACTTAACTACCCTTGTGTCTATATCCTCAATACAACACTCAACACTCTCTGGTGCTTGTTTCTCGCAATCGACAAGCCTCAAAATGTAGATTTTTGGTTTACAATAGTCGTCAAAGTGACTATCCAAATATCTTCTAGCCAATTAGATCATGCAACTCCCTAGCATACATTTCTTGGACGTTCTACGTGTCAACATTCCACTAGAGATCATCTGCAATGTTCTCTGCTTTCTCTGCTTTGCTCCGGCTACCCGTGATGAGTGTGTCAATTGGCGAACCGTTTTAGCATCAGGGCTTGCTAAGTGAAGACCAGTCCTTGCCCACAATCCAAACCAACTCTTCAAGATAGCTAGTTGACGACCTAGGCGACCTGAGCAATGTTCATAATAGTCCATGTTAGAAAAATATGTGAAACGGAAGATTGGTGGCTTTGTCGGAGTAATTTATATCCCTAAGGAATTTAAGCTCCCGTTTGGCCATAGATTCTGGCTTTATTTTTTTAAATTTTTTATTTATGAAATATGATCTTGTTTTAGAAAAAAAAATTCAAAAATTTTCAAGTTCCCAAAAACTGCATATTTTTTCTTCCATTCAAAAAAATTCAAGTTTTTTTTCAAATAAAATGCATATCCAAACACAACTTCAACTTCTAAAAATTATTTTTCAACACGACCTCAAAAACTCTTTTTTCACGTTTCAACAAAATCTATGTCCTGACGCTAGCTAAGTCTTCATTCTATTGCTCTTGGGTTTGTGATAGAATTTCTCCGGGATTTTACAAAGGTAAATGTAATCCAAGTGCAGTTATAAATTTTAATCATCCCAAACTATATGAATATTTTGAGAGGGAAAGAGAAGTAAACTGTTGGCAAAATCCAGTTCGATATATGTATGTTTAGGAGGCAAAAAAAGGGTACTTGTAATATAAGATATTTGTTAAGATAGTTATTCTTAACAGACACAAATTCTCTTAATAGACAATTAAAAAGTCATTGTTTTTGTTTATTATAATTTAGATTTATTTTTCTCTTCTTTTTCGATCAATAACTACACTAACAATCCAATAGGATATTGCAGTGACCAGGAAGAACAGTAGCAGAAGCTCAAGGAAAGTTACTCACCGACCACGTTTGATTAAATCAGAGGTCAATACCGTTGGATAATGGCAGAATCAGAAATTTAAAATATTATAGGGGTATGACATTTGGAATAAAATAATTAACTAAGCAAGTGACCTACATAGGAACGAGGGATTGTTTCAAAAGTACTTTGTGGACGACGAAATTTTTGTGACGGTAATGGGAAGCCGCCGTATGACCTATATGTTAGGGGTTCTGTTTAACCAAAAAACTGAATATTTGGTTAAAGTTAGAATTTAAGAGAGAAATCGGGTTACTGATAATCAAGAAATGAGAGACTTTGAGAACAACAATAAAGCAATGAATAAGTATATATTTCAGTATAATCTCAATGATATTTCGTGTGTCCTACAGATGTTGAGACCTTCTCCTTTTA